AAGCCTAGTTCCCAGAAGATGTGGCTCAATGGATATGGCCCAAAGAAGATGCGCATCCTTGGCATGCGATTTAGGGTTCAGGGTTTAGGATTCTTCCGGGTTGCTCAACATCGAGGCTGTGAGTTCTGCTGGTACCAAAGAGGGGCAAGCCGCGAATCAACCAAAGATGGCCAGCCATTTAGGGGAAACAGGGTGTGATCGGCAAACACAAGCAAGATGCGGAGTCTGTTCCGTCGGCCCTGATATGGGGGTTTCCGAAAACAGGGGTACCCTTTTTGGGGTGTCCCTGAAGGGGATTCTATACTACTAGTATTTAGGGGTATAAAAGGGCCAAGGGGTACCCAAACCCAGAAGCTTCGCTGCGCCGGCTTTCATGACTAGATGGGAGAACACAACAGCGACAGGGACAGAAGCTCCAAGCCCCCGTTATCCAGTAGTGCATATGGTCCAGTTACAGTGGTCTGCACAGAAAATTTGGGACTGCACGAGTTACAAGGTGAAGCGACCCGAATTCGACCATGAACCTGAGCTTAAGTCCGGCGTCACCATTGGTTTCCTATGTCCCAAGATGAAAGCTGCATGCCATGGCTCCCGCCCACGCGCCGGGGTTTTGACCAGGGCGTGCTCTTGGTGCCACTGCGGAAGTACTGAGCACAACCTTGTACGTTCGTGATTCCTCGTGATTGTCAGATAACTTGCGCTCGCAAGCAGTCAGAATCAGAGAGAGCGAGAGAGAGAGAGAGAGAGAGAGAGAGAGAGAGAGAGAGGGAGAGAGGGAGAGAGGGAGAGAGAGAGTGGGAGAGAGGCATGGAGAGATGCACTGCCATCTGGGTCCAACACACGCATTGTCAGATTCATAGTAATTCTTTGTATCGCTGTGGCCCCAGGACTTCCTGAAGAAACATCGAGGCATCACAAAAAAGTTCAAAGCCACTCATTCTCAGCTTGGTTGGCAACTGACAAACTTGTAGCCAACTCGTACATGCAGTGTCGAGTGTCAGCGTGGCTTTGAAGAAAATGAAGTTCACGAACCACAGCACGACAGCCACCAGGGCAGTGTAAAGATATACCTTGGCATAGGAGAGGTGCGCATCTGTCTCTGCCTTGCGTAACTTGTTAGCTAGTTGAGCCTACAGAGAGCTAGCAGCTCAGCTCTTGAGCATGCGGAGCCTGGCAACGTTTTTGATCCCAGCTCAAGAGCCTGGAGGCTGAGGTGAACAGTCCGATGCCATTGTTTCTGCGCATGTCAACTTTGTAGCCCCGACATCCTCAATGCGCCATAATGCGCCACATTCGTCCCTTGACAGCCCGTTCTACAAATGCACCCTGCCTTGCCATCGATGAGCTCAGCGATCCTGTGCACTCATCAGAGCATGCTAGGTCACCAAAAGGTGGCTCAGCTAGAACAGCTGCTCCGTAGCTCATAGTAGCTCTGCATTATGAAGATGTACTATTGCAGCGTTTCAGCCCCCACCAGCATCCCCACATATGGGTTTCGGCTGCTGCGTGTTAGCAGAAGGCGTAATAATCAGGATGTGCCCAGTCTTCCGTCGTTCCTTTCTTCATCTTCCTTCGCAGAAATCCGGAATTGGAGGAGACCACGCTCGCGATGCTGATGCTTGAGCTGTTGCACTCTTTCTTTGTTCTTGGTTCTTTCCCTCAAAAACTCCCAACCCCGAACATCCGCAGTGCACTCAACAAAGCCGCTAGCACCGCGACCATCAGGCCCGATAAGTGCATGTACCTCTACTGTACATGCCGTCTTATCTGCCCCTGACCTCGCCTGCACCGCCCCTCCCTTGCCGTGCTGGATGCTACCCATAATCTCCACAATTCCGCAATCATACACATGTCGCCGTATGCAAAAGAAGCTGCTGCAGTTGAGCGTCGGCGCAACAGGTGCCAACTTGGACTGCACAGACGGCGTCGGGTAGTTGGTGGCCAAATACAGAAGACGCTCGATGCTGCGGAAGTAAACCCTGCGCAGTAAGCTTGGCACTTAGGCCTGTCTCAACAACACAATCATAACCGAACACAGCAAAACAGGGATAAGCCAGCACAGCGCCGCCAGAAAAATCCCCGTCCCCCTCCCAACCAAAGGGATTGCCATGGTTGCTTTGGCCGGGTTGCAGTGCAGCAGCTGTACAGGTCATGATGAGGGTGCCGACACTGCGCAGAAGCTTCGCCGACCTCTGGAGAAGACCAGAAACTGCAATCGAGCGGTTTCTCAGACAATGTGAGTGATACTGCTGCAGCTGGAACACTCGGAGCTTGGGTTAAGCGGCCTCCTGGCCGGGAACATGACAGATGAAAGTGTGGCAATAGATTCTGGTATTTGTGCCGTCTGCAGTTTGGATATAGTTTGGATTCTAGTGCCAGTCTCCTCAGCAATACCATCAATCGCCCCGTCTTGCCCAGCACGCAAACGTTGGTCTCGACCTGGAGTGGTCACCCGTAGGCCAAAAAGTGATGCAAGCTTTCCGGCTTATGGGCCTTGCAAGCATGAATCAAGAGCGGATTGTTTGGGGGAGGCACAGGCTCGGTGACCAAGAAGTGGTACAAGGAAAGGCTCATGGCTTGTGTCATCATCCACTTGAAGTTGCTCATGCCGGACACTTCCGTGACCACCTGCGCGCAGCGCAAGCAGGTCAATCCCTTCAGCACCGACTGCAAACCTGTCGCATCGTGCTTTCACATTCCTGGAGGTTCCGCTACGTTCGCCACAGCACTCTCTGACTGTCAAACATTGCCGAGCTGCCAGCTGCAACACGCCGCCAAGACCTTTGAACCATCCCACGGCGCTTCGTGCATTTGCATATTTGGGGCTGTTCTGAATTAGGGTCCCGTCTAGATGGAGAGATGGAGACCTGGTAGTATTAGCTTAATGGAGATCGCCAGAAAGTGCCCTCATTACCTTCCTTTGGCTGGACAGCTCCCAAAAGGTTCATAGGGACGATATCAGCTTGAGACTCGGACCATCTTGCTCTTTCTCGGTCAGGTACTCGTCGAGCTTCTGCCGCTGCCTCTTCGTGATGGGCAGATCTCAACATGGCTGCTGGTATCCGTGGTGGCCCCGGTATGATTTGAGTCGACTGGGGCACTGGCTGGTTCTTCTCCTCTTGCATCCACTCCTCGCCTGAAGTACGCTGACAGCACTTCTTGAGAAATCACCAGGTCCTCACACCGCCACCTGTATGCTAAAAGCCTATCCCACACAAGATACAAGATGGGACTTGACATGACTTGACCCTTGGATGTCCTCTCCGGATCACGCTCTTCATAGGTAAACCAGTACATGACTTTAATAACTGTCTTTGCATCCCCAACTCAAAAATCAAGGCAACTGAATGCAGAACATCGCTTTTGTTTGCCTGGCCTTTTTCGGGATGTGTGCGTGTCATGGTCATATATGTGTGTATATCATATGCGCTGACTGTATTATGATGCATGCGTCTGTGTATGTGAAGGCATGTACTTGTTTCAGGGGGGTGTGTGTGTATGCATGTATCAACATGTTTCTACTGAACAAGCTTGCTCGAGCAACTGCCCTCAACAGGGTCGGGGTGGCTAGAGGCTGACATGCTAGCAATTATAACTTCTGTTCGCTGAAAAAATGAGTCCTACTTTGCGTTAACCACGATCTGCAATTAAAGTCAATGAATGCAACTAGTGACTGTTGTTGCAAAATGCCCAATGAAGGTTGTGAGACTTGAAGGGATCTGTGGCCGCATATATACGGGTTGCATTCACTGTGCAAGCTGGTGGCGCATCTCTTTGGTCATCTCATCCGTTCGGATGCCTCAAGTCATGGGCGAACGGCTTGGATCCGCTAATTTCCTTGAAACTCACGGGTAGCAAAGGTAGCAAAGGTAGCTAAGGTAGTGGGCACATCCCAAGTGCCGTCAAAGCAGGATCCCAGCTCCCGGTGCCTGAGCCAAAGGCGCTGAGGTAGGCCTTCTTGATGGCGGCCTTCGACAGGCTTCAAGAGACGCATTGGGCGATCCCCCATTCGCCTTAAGTTTCTCTATGCTGGTCATGGCGAAGTCTTCCCTCCCTGGCTTTGTTCTAGGCCTTGGCAGATTCCCAGCCGATGGCGATCCCCAGGCCCACAAAGGGAGACAGCAGAAGCCTGGATGTCGTTTGCTCAACTCTCCCAGGCTGCGACGTCTGAAGCTGAGATTGGCCCTGAAAACCCGACGCAACCGTCACGAGCTACTCTCGAGGTCGGCATTCAGGCCAAGCTGCAGGTAGGCTGCCTCCTTGCAGGTGGCCTTCATCCACTTCTCTTGAGCTCCAGGATCTTCGCCTGAGTCTGTAAGGGCAGGGCAGAGCGCTGGCCTCCTGGGCCTGATCTGCAGAGCCAATGTGCGCTTGGTGGTGTTGTCGCTGAAGTTCTGGTCTTCTTCAAGATTCCTTGTGCGGTATGTGGCATGCATTAGGGCTCAGCTTATGGCTGCCGATGATTATCTCAATGGAGGCTAGGGGAGACCAAGGGGTAAAGGCAAAATACAAAACGCGGCACATGTGGAAGCTTAACCAAGCGAGGGTCATTGTTCCCAGCAGCGCCATCATGATAACAAGGGCCTCTTGCAGGTGAGATCACAAAAAAGGGAAAAAGCTGAACCACGCGAACTCCTCACAACTTGGGCAGGATCAGTGCTATGATGTGCCATGCCATTATTAGATGATCTGTCATAATGAATGCTTCGCTGGCGACCCGGACCTTCTGCTCGACATTTCTGTACCTTGAAGCAGTGCTTAGGGCTTAAGACTTAATGCCGAGGGTGTGATCTCATCACTTCCTCACCACTTCAGGGCACTTTATGTGAGCTCCAAGCAAAGAAGCTTGATATTCTTGACAGCAGAGCATGGCTTGGAATCGCCAAGATGCAAAGTACTGACCGTCCACTTTGTGCCCGCGATGAAGCCTTGGAACTCAAAGACTGCTGCCGGATCTTGCCCCGAGTTCGCTGGGTGTTCGCAGAAACAGAGTCACCGAGCGCTCACTCAGCCCAAGCCAAGAAGCAGCAGCAGTTGTTCTTGCATTTCAGCGTACACATCTTGTGCTCTTGACACAGCGGATCCTGGGTTCTCGTTGCACAGAGGCCAATTTCACTGCTTGATAGCGATTTGGGTGTGGTCTGAGATCCCACACATCCCAAACATCTGTACGAAGGACCTTTATGTACTATTTGGCAATCCTCTTTGTTTTGTTTATATTGTAAGGTCTCGGAAATAAGCGCGCTATTTCTTTTAAAGAATTTATGGAATTTAAACGCTTTAAATTCCTTAAATTGGAACTAGGGCCGGTATTTCTTTTTTAAGGAATTTAAGGAATTTAAAAGGCTTAAATTCCTTAAATTCCTTAAATTGGAAATAGGGCCGGTATTTCTTTTTTAAGGAATTTAAGGAATTTAAAGGGCTTAAATTCCTTAAATTCCTTAAATTGGAAATAGGGCCGGTATTTCTTTTTTAAGGAAATTAAAGAATTTAAGGAATTTATAAAATTTAAATTGGGTGGCCTGGGTTTTGAAATAGGGGCCGCCGATTTAAATTTTATAAATCTATTAAATTCTTTAAATTCCTTAAATTGGAAATAGGGCCGGTATTTCTTTTTTAAAGAATTTAAGGAATTTAAAGGGCTTAAATTCCTTAAATTGGAAATAGGGCCGGTATTTCTTTTTTAAAGAATTTAAGGAATTTCAAGGGCTTAAATTCCTTAAATTCCTTAAATTGGAAATAGGGCCGGTATTTCTTTTTTAAGGAATTTAAGGAATTTAAAGGGCTTAAATTCCTTAAATTCCTTAAATTAGAAATAGGGCCGGTATTTCTTTTTTAAGGAATTTAAGGAATTTAAAGGGCTTAAATTCCTTAAATTCCTTAAATTGGAAATAGGGCCGGTATTTCTTTTTTAAGGAATTTAAAGAATTTAAGGAATTTATAAAATTTAAATTGGGTGGCCTGGGTTTTGAAATAGGGGCCGCCGATTTAAATTTTATAAATCCTTTAAATTCCTTAAATTCCTTAAATCGGAAATAGGGCCGGCATTTCTTTTTTAAGGAATGTAAGGAATTTAAAGTGCTTAAATTCCTTAAATTCCTTAAATTGGAAATAGGGCCGGTATTTCTTTTTTAAGGAATTTAAGGAATTTAAAGGGCTTAAATTCCTTAAATTCCTTAAATTAGAAATAGGGCCGGTATTTCTTTTTTAAGGAATTTAAGGAATTTATAAAATTTAAATTGGGGGCCTGGGTTTTGAAATAGGGGCCGCCGATTTAAATTTTATAAATCCTTTAAATTCTTTTAAATTCCTTAAATTGGAAATAAGGCCGGTATTTCTTTTTTAAAGAATTTAAGGAATTTAAAGGGCTTAAATTCCTTAAATTCCTTAAATTGGAAATAGGGCCGGTATTTCTTTTTTAAGGAATTTAAGGAATTTAAAGGGCTTAAATTCCTTAAATTCCTTAAATTGGAAATAGGGCCGGTATTTCTTTTTTAAGGAATTTAAAGAAGTTAAGGAAGTTATCAAATTTAAATTGGGGGGCCTGGGTTTTGACATAGGGGCCGCCGATTTAAATTTTATAAATCCTTTAAATTCTTTCAATTCCTTAAATTGGAAATAAGGCCGGTATTTCTTTTTTAAAGAATTTAAGGAATTTAAAGGGCGTAAATTCCTTAAATTCCTTAAATTGGAAATAGGGCCGGTATTTCTTTTTTAAGGAATTTAAGGAATTTAAAGGGCTTAAATTCCCTAAATTCCTTAAATTGGAAATAGGGCCGGTATTTCTTTTTTAAGGAATTTAAAGAATTTAAGGAATTTATAAAATTTAAATTGGGTGGCCTGGGTTTTGAAATAGGGGCCGCCGATTTAAATTTTATAAATCCTTTAAATTCCTTAAATTCCTTAAATTGGAAATAGGGCCGGCATTTCTTTTTTAAGGAATTTAAGGAATTTAAAGGGCTTAAATTCCTTAAATTCCTTAAATTGGAAATAGGGCCGGTATTTCTTTTTTAAGGAATTTAAAGAATTTAAGGAATCTTAAAAAATTTAAATTGGGTGGCCTGGGTTTTGAAATAGGGGCCGCCGATTTAAATTTTATAAATCCTTTAAATTCCTTAAATTCCTTAAATTGGAAATAGGGCCGGCATTTCTTTTTTAAGGAATTTAAGGAATTTAAAGGGCTTAAATTCCTTAAATTCCTTAAATTGGAAATAGGGCCGGTATTTCTTTTTTAAGGAATTTAAGGAATTTAAAGGGCCTAAATTCCTTAAATTCCTTAAATTGGAAATAGGGCCGGCATTTCTTTTTTAAGGATTTTAAAGAATTTAAGGAATTTATAAAATTTAAATTGGGTGGCCTGGGTTTTGAAATAGGGGCCGCCGATTTAAATTTTATAAATCCTTTAAATTTTTTAAATTCCTTAAATTGGAAATAAGGCCGGTATTTCTTTTTTAAAGAATTTAAGGGATTTAAAGGGCGTAAATTCCTTAAATTCCTTAAATTCCTTAAATTGGACATAGGGCCGGTATTTAGTTTTAAAGAATTTAAAGAATTTAAGGAATTTATAAAATTTAAACTGGGTGGCCTGGGTTTTGAAATAGGGGCCGCCGATTTAAATTTTATAAATCCTTTAAATTCCTTAAATTCCTTAAATTGGAAATAGGGCCGGCATTTCTTTTTTAAGGAATTTAAGGAATTTAAAGGGCTTAAATTCCTTAAATTCCTGAAGTTGGAAATAGGGCCGGTATTTCTTTTTTAAGGAATTTAAGGAATTTAAAGGGCTTAAATTCCTTAAGTTCCTTAAATTGGAAATAGGGCCGGCATTTCTTTTTTAAGGAATTTAAGGAATTTAAAGGGCTTAAATTCCTTAAATTCCTTAAATTCCTTAAATTGGAAATAGGGCCGGCATTTCTTTTTTAAGGAATTTAAGGAATTTAAAGGGCTTAAATTCCTTAAATTCCTTAAATTGGAAATAGGGCCGGTATTTCTTTTTTAAGGAATTTAAAGAATTTAAGGAATTTATAAAATTTAAATTGGGTGGCCTGGGTTTTGAAATAGGGGCCGCCGATTTAAATTTTATAAATCCTTTAAATTCTTTAAATTCCTTAAATTGGAAATAAGGCCGGTATTTCTTTTTTAAAGAATTTAAGGAATTTAAAGGGCGTAAATTCCTTAAATTCCTTAAATTGGAAATAGGGCCGGTATTTCTTTTTTAAGGAATTTAAGGAATTTAAAGGGCTTAAATTCCTTAAATTCCTTAAATTGGAAATAGGGCCGGTATTTCTTTTTTAAGGAATTTAAAGAATTTAAGGAATTTATAAAATTTAAATTGGGTGGCCTGGGTTTTGAAATAGGGGCCGCCGATTTAAATTTTATAAATCCTTTAAATTCCTTAAATTCCTTAAATTCCTTAAATTGGAAATAGGGCCGGCATTTCTTTTTTAAGGAATTTAAGGAATTTACAGGGCTTAAATTCCTTAAATTCCTTAAATTGGAAATAGGGCCGGTATTTCTTTTTTAAGGAATTTATGGAATTTAAAGGGCTTAAATTCCTTAAATTCCTTAAATTGGAAATAGGGCCGGTATTTCTTTTTTAAGGAATTTAAGGAATTTAAAGGGCTTAAATTCCTTAAATTCCTTAAATTGGAAATAGGGCCGGTATTTCTTTTTTAAGGAATTTAAAGAATTTAAGGAATTTATAAAATTTAAATTGGGGGGCCTGGGTTTTGAAATAGGGGCCGCCGATTAAAAAGGCTTTTTTTAATTTCAAAACCACCTTAAATTCCTACATACCTAATTTAGGAATTTAAGGAATTTAAGATTTTTTTTTTATGTAAAAAGGGCTTCTTTAAATTTTTAAAAAAACCTTAAATTCCTTAATACCTAATTTAGGAATGTAAGGAATTTAAGGAATTTAAGGAATTTAAGGTTTTTTTAAAATTTTAAAACGGGCCGGCCCAACAATTTTATTTACCCAATTTAAGAATTTAAGGAATTTAAGGAATTTAAGGAATTTAAGGTTTTTTTTAATCTAAAAGGGCGTTTTTGGATTTAAAAAAAAAAAAACCTTAAATTCCTAAATACCTAATTGAGGAATTTAAGGAATTTAAGATTGTTTTAAAATTTACAAAGGCCTTTTTTAAATTTTAAAAATACCTTAAATTCCTTATTCTTTAAACTCCTAAATACATAATTTAAGAATTTAAGGAATTTAAGGCTTTTTTAAAATTTAAAAAAGGGCCTGCCCAACAATTTTATTTACCCAATTTAAGAATTTCAGGAATTTAAGGACTTTAAGGTTTTTTTGAAATTGAAAAATGCCTTTTTTTAACTTTAAGAAAACCTTAAATTCCTTAAATTCTTTAAACTCCTAAATACCTAATTTAAGAATATAAGGAATTTAAGGAATTTAAGGTTTCTTTTTGTAAAATTTAAA